ATGTATCGGCTGTCAAGAACATACTACGTCATCATCCCGCAGTTTTCAGTTAGCATTACGTAGATCAAATATAAAATGTTTTGCGAATAATGCGAATGTAGAATAGAATAGAATAGAATAGAATAGAATAGAATAGAATAGAATAGAATAGAATAGAATAGAATAGAATAGAATAGAATAGAATAGAATAGAACACTTGTTTGCCACCGTGGGCGTCTGCGTGTCGTCCTTCTATTCTGTGTTAAGAAAAATATAAATTGGTACAGTTGTACAATAAAGTTAGTACAGTTGCTCGATTTTTTTTTATCTTGCACAACATATGTAACCAGAATGTTACGAATGCCATGCAGTAAATATTCAATGTCATTTTATTTGTCTGTTTGTGAACCCTGCGGCATCTTGTGTTACTTTGTGGTGCAAGTAATTATCACTCAAACTACAGAATAATGCATACCAAGCTGTCACAAATCTACAACCGGCATATTGAATTTTTCACCCCAATGATTGTCACGGCAAATGTTTTAACGGATTAGGTATGCCACAATAAATGTCTGTTAATGTGTATGACCGACCAATAGGTCGAGGGGATTCCGTAGAGTTTACCTCTAGTCGCTATTTTATCCTTATGCTCTCAATTTCACTTGTTCAAATTCTATTCAATTTTATTACAATCGTTTTGGCCAATAGTATATAGTATTATTTGTCTTAATTGTAATGCTTCGTAGCATCACTGTAACATTACACCTCTGTTTATAACTTCTGAAAAAATATTGGTTGTTGTTTCTAATCTTTGAATAGCTGCGTCAGATTTAATGATGGTATCAGAGTTGGGGCTCAGATTGGGCTACATCCCCAGATAATCCAAACTAGGTGTAAACACACGTTCTATTCACTTGAAATTAATTACGATAAAAACATACAATAAGTTTCAGGCCGCGAAAGATATTTTTTTTTTAGTTGAACGACTGTTGAATGAAGAGAACAGCTATTTTAATGAGTCTATAAATATGCAAAATAATTTACATATGCGTGTACATGCCAGTGTGCATCGAATGATCACGAAGTGCAATCGTGGCAGTAGAAAACATATATTTTTCATAACCGTAACTCTCGAAATGTTTAAAGTAATATAAGTACGTTGTCCTTAAAAACATTCCGAATAATTGTTTTATTTTCTTGTGTATACGCTATATTAGCTAAATAATAAAATATACAGAATATTTATGAATTCCACTGCAGCAGTTAGCAGCAATGTTTGCCGACTTCTACACTTAAGGTACCTGTTTCCAGTAATGTGTGTATGCTTGCTTGTTTGCCTGTTGTCTCTCCAGCCCGCTATGCGTGTCTTCGCCCTATAGTCTCCTTGCTTTTATTTCGATAGTTACAAATGTTTCAGGAGGTGCGACAGGTGGAATTATGGCAGATAGTTTAATTCTTGTTATTACAACGAATTAAATTATTTCCAGTGCATTTTGGTATATAAAATGTTTCACTGTCATTATTCGGAGTATTGTGTGAAGGGCATAATGTGTCGGCATGGAATGGCAATATTAGTCCTAAACAGTGTACTCTCTAGGAAGGGTTGGAAGACAAATTTGATTTCATGTTGATGCAAACATGTCCCAGCGTTTCGAAATCAATCAATCAACATTTGTATATTCATGACGTACACAAATATTTCATTCTGTAATAATAATAATATGTTTTATATTTTTACACACAAAACAATATTGCTACAGTAAGATTTGAATGTTGGTAAGTGAAGACTTAAGACGTACTGACATATACCGTGTGATATAACGATTTATTGTTGATAAACATTCCATATTAACTAAAATAGTTATATTAGAATATAGCCAAATATGACACTAAAAATCAATTTAGTTGGGTATCAGTTGGAACAACTGATTTTATGACGCACTGCTAACTAGTTTGAATCCAACCACGAACATGTCTGTATGTGTCTGTTTCTCGTCATTTGTATTCTCATTCATAGACAACATCTCCAGGGAAAGAACAATAACGCAGTGCCAATGCAGAAATGAATGGAGTGAATATTAAAATCGGGGTGGCGGGGAGCAGAGCAAAGAGCAGACAAAAAATACTGGGTGAATATCAGGGAGACAGTGCATATGTCCGACCAGTCTGCGGGGACAACGGACGTAGAACAGCGATGTAGTCCATGGAGCAGGCGGAAAGCAGGCATCGGTTTGAGAGCAGATATTTCTAAAATAAATTATTTGTATTGCATTTGCCAGAATATATATGTTCCAAGTGCTAAATTATTTATTTCTGTCAAATCAAATCTCTCATTTTGTCAAATTGTCATCCCATAAAGGTAGTTGGAACAAAATATTTGTAATTAGGACATTGTCTAAAACCATTTGATCATATCGCCGTATACATCTTCACCTGATTTGTAATATTTACATTCTGTTTTCACCACTCTATTCATGTATATACATGAAAAAGATGCATTTCTAAGCATGCATTAAACATTATTACTATTGTTATAAGAGAAGACTATGTGCGTTTATAGTCACAGATTACACATGACATTACGATGTTGAAAAGAATCGACACCGGCCGGGAACATAAACACAGTACACAGAGCAGACACAATACGTAGGGAACATAGACGCAGTAAAAATAGCAGACGCAGTACAGAGAGCGGACACAATACGTAGGGAACATATACGCAATAAAGAGAGCAGACACAATACGTAGGGAACATAGACGCAGTAAAGAGAGCAGACACAATACATAAAGAACACAGACGCAGTACAGAGAGCAGACACAATACGTATGGAACATAGACGCAGTACACAGAGCAGACACAATACGTAGGGAACATATACGCAGCACAGAGAGCAGACACAATACGTAGGGAACATAGACACAGTACACAGAGCAGACACAATACGCAGGGAACATAGACGTAGTACAGAGAGCAGACACAATGCGTAGGGAACATAGACACAGTACACAGAGCAGATACAATACGTAGGGAACATAGACGCAGTACAGAGAGCAGACACAATACGTAGGGAACATATACGCAGTACAGAGAGCAGACACAATACGTAGGGAACATAGACGCAGTAAAGAGAGCAGACACAATACACAGAGAACACAGACGCAGTACAGAGAGCAGACACAATACGTATGGAACATAGACGCAGTACACAGAGCAGACACAATACGTAGGGAACATATACGCAGCACAGAGAGCAGACACAATACGTAGGGAACATAGACACAGTACACAGAGCAGACACAATACGTAGGGAACATAGACGCAGTAAAGAGAGCAGACACAATACACAGAGAACACAGACGCAGTACAGAGAGCAGACACAATACGTATGGAACATAGACACAGTACACAGAGCAGACACAATACGTAGGGAACATATACGCAGCACAGAGAGCAGACATAATACGTAGGGAACATAGACACAGTACACAGAGCAGACACAATACGTAGGGAACATGGACGTAGTACAGAGAGCAGACAATACGTAGGGAACATAGACACAGTACACAGAGCAGACACAATACGTAGGGAACACAGACGCAGTACAGAGAGCAGACACAATACGTATATAACATAGACGCAGTACACAGAGCAGACACAATACGTAGGGAACATATACGCAGCACAGAGAGCAGACACAATACGTAGGGAACATAGACGCAGTACAGAGAGCAGACATAATAGATATGGAACATAGATATGTCTATTTCTGGTGTATGTGTTGTCAATGGCAACGAAAATCAGCTCAGGCGTGTCGAGGAGGAAACTATATTCCGCCTTGGAACTAAAGAACCCAATGGAATTAACAAACAGTTCAACTCAT